AAACCATCTTAATTAGACTCTTTCCAGTGTGAGTGTCCACCATCGCTGGCCATAATGGGTTTTGACCCAGGGGTTAATATGACCAGAGCCGGACTGGGAAAAAAAATTCGGCACGAGCATTTTTCAATCACAGCGGCCCTAATGACAAGCATGCCCCCTCTCAAAGTGAGCATGTTAGTTCAATGCACAGAGTCCTGCTGAAGAGCTCTAGCATTAGAAAAAGGCCCCGTATTTGTTCTGCACAGTGCAAGCATGTTTGCGTTGTGTTTACTTTTAACTTGTCTCTAGTGTCTCCATAAGTGGATACCAGAGGACAAAAGGGCCAGGAAAGCGTATCGTGCATGTATTTGAAGCCCAGGGCCGGACTGGCCCACCGGGATACCTGGAAATTTCCCGGTGGGCCGTCGGCACCTGGGGCCGGGCAGGCAGCTGGCTCACCTGCGGCCGCAGAGGGAGCTCTTTAGGCGGCCGCAGGGGGAGCTGGCTGTTCTGTCTCTGCTCCCCCTCCCCAGCGCACTGCTTAATGAGACCGGGGCCGGAATATGATGTCATATTCCGGCACCGGTCTCTTTGTAGCGCGCTGAGGCGGGGGAGCAGAGACAGAACAGCCAGCTCCCCCATGCGGCCGCCATCAGAGCTCCCCATGCCAGCACACAGGTAGAAATTATGTGTGTCAGTGTGAGTGTGTGTGTCTGTGTCATTTGTGTGTGTGTCTGTCATGGTGTGTCTGTCTGTGTCATGGTGTGTGTGTGTGTCGGTCTGTGTCATGGTGTGTGTGTGTGTGTGTGTGTCGGTCTGTGTCATGGTGTGTGTGTGTCTGTCATGGTGTGTGTGTGTGTGTCTCTGTGTGTCATTGTGTGTGTGTCTGTGTCATGCAATGTGTGTGTGTCATTGAGTGTGTCTGTGTGTGTCTCTGTGTCATGGTGTGTGCGTCTGTCTGTGTCATGCAATGTGTGTGTGTCATTGTGTGTCTTTGTCACGGACTGTCTATGTCATGGTGTGTGTGTGTTTATCATGGTGTGTGTGTGTCTGTATGTCATGGTGTGTGTGTCTGTGTCATGTAATGTGTGTCTGTGCCACGGTCTCTCTGTGTCCTGGTGTGTGTGTGTGTGTGTCATGGTGTGTGTGTCTGTGTCATGTTATGTGTGTGTGTCACAGTCTGTCTGTGTTATGGTGTGTGTGTCAAGGTGTGTGTGTGTCTTTTTTAAGGTGTGTCTCTGTCATGGTATGTGTGTGTCTCTGTCTGTGTCACGGTGTGTGTGTGTTTCAGTCTGTGTCACGGTGTGTGTGTGTTTCAGTCTGTGTCACGGTCTGTCTGTGTCATGGTGTGTCTGTCATGGTATGTGTATGTGTGTTTTTACTCACCTTTTTTTCCCCCCACATCGTGCTGGTCTCCCCTCGCCTGGCCCTGCCTCTACGGCTGAGATCATCAAGCTTGATGATCTCAGCCAATCTGCACTGACACAGGAAGCACCTCTAGTGATGTCTGAGTGTCTGTCACTAGGAAGCAATGTAAACACTGCCTTTTCTCTAAAAGTCAGTGTTTACATTGAAAAGCCTGCAAGGACAGGCTATAGACACCAGAGCCACTACATTGAGCTGTGTGTGTGTGCGTGCCTGCTAGTGAGTGGGCTTGCTTGTGTGTGTGTGTGTGTGTGTGTGTGTGTCTGCTACCAAGTGAGCTTGTGTTTTTATGTCAATGACCTTATGTATATCAGTGAGATTGTTTGTCTATGAGGCTGAGTATCAATCAGCTTGTATCAGTGAGTTTGTCTGTGTCTGCATGTGAGTATGCTTACTGTATAATTAAACATTTTACTCTGAAAGGACCAATATTTTATATTGGAAATATATATATATATATATATATATATATCTCAATCATCTAGGGTGGCAAGACATAGCCTTACATATTACATGCGACAATATATGGCGCAATGACTTGTATTTTTTTCCAGGGCTGCTTTGGAATCCCCAGTCCAGCCCTGTTGAAGCCTGCTTGTGGGATTGCGTGCGTGTAGAGTGAGCTGATTTTGGTGTGGTATTGTGTAAAAAGGTCGATTTAATTTGAGTGTGTAGTGTAATATTTGTGACTAGGAGCTGTAGAGAGTGTGTGTATAGGGGGCATAGTGTGTATTGGGGATGTAGCTAGTGTGTGTAGGGGTTGTAGAGAGTGTGTGTTTGGAGAATGTAGTAGGTGTTTGTTTAAAAGGAATGTAGTGTGTGCATAGGGGATCCAGAGTTTGTATGTCAGGAATGTAGTGTGTGTGTGTATAGGAGATCGTGTGTGTGTAGAGGATTCAGAGTGCATATAGGGATCTAGTGTGCGTATGTGTAGATGATCCAGAGTTGGGTAAGGGATCTAGTGTGTGTCTGGAATGTAATGTGTGTAGTGGTGCAGTGTGAGGGGTGCTGTAGTATGTATATATATATTTGAATGTATTGTATGTGTGAGGGTCGCAGTGTGTTCGGTGTGCTTTGTGTATGTGTGAAGGGTATAATGTGTGTGTAAAAGGGGTGCTGTATGTGTGAGAGTGTTCTTATCTGCCATCACATTCTATGTTTACACACAGACCTCACGATGTACTATCGGTCCAGATAAAATCCTAGATAAATTCACAAAAGAATACCAAAAATGTTAAAGTCCCAGATCCAAGTCCCTGTGAGATTGATTTTTTAAAAATTATTATAATTTATTTATTTATTTATACTGGAGGTATGGCTAAGAAAGATTTCACACTTCCTTCTAGCCATACCAATTCATACCATTAACGGGCGCTGTGATAGGCTGAACACTGTCAGCTGACACTCTTAGCCAAACACAGCCACCCATTGAGGCTATTGCTTCCTCAAGCAGCACTGAGGAGATGGGCTTCCAATAACTTTTTTAGCATTAAAACATTGAAAAATCTTTAACACTGACTGTAATGACAATGCCAGGAGATTCCAGACACTATGACCACATTGTTAACACAAAGTTATGATGCCTACAATATTCCTTTAAGGCAGGGATGGGGAACCTTTGGACTACATCTCCCATAATGCTCTTACAGCCATAATGCTGGCAAAGAATCAAGGGAGATGTAGTCCAAAACACCTGGAGGGCCAAAGGTTCTCCACCCCTGCTTTAAGGCTACTACAGCCCAAATCATCTACAGAGCATGCTCAGCTGGGTGTAAGACCGATGGATCATGGGAAATGTAGTTGATCAGAGCTGGCAACTTTGGCCACCACTGCCCTAATTTCTGTGGATAGTCCCTGGAACATAACCAGGTAGAACAAGTAAACATGAAGGGGAGATCTAGGTAATCAAGAATCCCCTGGCTGCGTTTATCAGATCACAACAGACTGTAACCCCTGCCTAGTTACGTAGAAACACACAATGACTATTAACCTGTGCTGGAAAGCCCAGGCAACGCCATGAACACAATAACAATGGTCTATTCCACTGCCCTTTCTTGCCTGGACTACTGTAATCCGCTTCGCAGTGGTCTTACGTGCTCCCAACTTGTGCCGTTAGTCCATAATGAATGAGGCGGCGAGGCTCATCTTCCTGTCCGCCCGCACCTCCCATGCCTCACCCTTTTGTCAGTCCCTACATTGGCTTCCTATAAAATATAGAGCTCAATTTAAAATTCTGGTTTTTGCTTTCAAATCTCTACATAATGCTGCTCCCACCTATCTATCCTCCCTTATACACAAGTATATCCCGTCTAGGCCCTTACGATCTGCTGAAGACTTACGTCTATCTTCTGTCCGTACTCCCACCTCTGATGCTCGCCTTCAAGATTTCCTCGAGGGCTGCACCGTTCCTGTGGAACTCGCTTCCCTACTCCGTTAGATGCTCACCCAGTCTCCACTCCTTCAAAAAATCGTTAAAAACCCACTTCTTCATAAAAGCGTATCAATTAAACTGTTAATAGCTCCTGACTGATTCCTCTCTTGCAACTGTCATTAGTCTAATACTATCCTTACCTTTGGTGTCACTTTACCCCACTCCCTCTAGCATGTAAGCTCATTGAGGAAGGGCATTCAGCCCCTCTGTTCCTGTGTGTCCAACTTGTCTGGTTACAATTACATGTTTGTTTGTCCACCAACTGTAAAGCGCTGCGAAATTTGTTGGCGCTATATAAATAATAACATAATAAACAAGGACTCCATAGATTGTCTGTGAAATGCCAATTACTGTGCAGAATAACCTCAATAAAATGTATACAATATCAGGAAAACGTTTAGTGTCAAACCATATACGTCAAGACACACAAAGCCAGGCAGAAGTGAAAGAGAAAGGGGAAAATTTATTAAACTGTCACCAACACTTTTCTGTTTAATTTTCAGAGAATTTTTGGCATGGGAAAATAAATAAATAAACTAGCATACCAATTTACCATAGTACAAAGACAACCATGTGCTGTCTAAAATAAAGACCTAGAAAATAATTTATTAAAACTATGTTGAGTAATGAAACCAACCAGTTTGAGATCACACAAGAAAAAAAAACAAAAAACAAAAACAAAAATGGACTGAAGTCACATATTTGCTGCAATGTTGCAATGGCATGCACCCCGCTCAATTGTATTGCACTCATTGAAAAAACTAACTCTCACAGATTTATTCGCTTGCATAATAATTAAAGTAATAATAAAAAAAAATGACAAGTCGTTTTGCGTGGATTTAATGGCGTTCCACCTAGGTGGAGCGGCTCACTCCCATTTTAAGCCTCCTACAGCTTCTTCAGAACCTGTTAGGCAGTTTTTTTATTGAAGAGAGGGAAGTGCACCGACTGCTTGGGACACGATTGTTTTTAGTTTGCTGACGTTTGGCTCTGCCTTCAAAATGATTGTTAAACACCCCGAAAGAAAAAAAAAGAAGGAACCTAGAAAAACAGGTAAAGTCAGGCGAGGTTTGCATTCCTGACTGATTGTTTAGGTATGGCTTGGTAGCAGATACTAGCGTATATAAGGAGTGCCCTTGTCACTGAGAATTTTACTCCAGAAGAGCAGAGAGCACAATGAAACAGCTTGGCACCGAGGGTCGGTGAGTAGAGAATGTTTTTCTGGATTGGGAATACCTAGGGATAACCTTGACTTGTTGTATCCATAGCTACCATAACCGATAGATTCCAGATAAATTAGCTGCAAAGTTATTCTGAATGCAAGCTCCAAAACCCACAAAAAGCAACAATGGTCAATTCAGCACCAATAATCGAAAATAATGTATTGGCAAATATTTTTATTTTTTTTGGAGTTGCAGGCCACCTCCAGCTTATTGACGCTTGAATTTCACCCCTGTTTGCCTGTGCAGGTTCCTGTGTTACAAAATGACAGGTGCGGTACACAGGAGCTGTATATAGGCAGCTGTCACAGCCGAACAATGTCTACATGATGAATCTGGTGTCTGCTTCACCTGTTCACAAACGTATCTGTCCCAGGACTACAGACCTGTTTAATTCAGGCCCTTTTTATAGTTACAGTATGGAGCAGTTTCAGAATCCTAATGCAATTGCTCACATTAGATCTCTGGTCTAGGGAACTGTGAAGAAAAAAATAAGAAGAGAAATCAAATTTAAGGCCATAAAGATTTGGTACATTTTTCCAATCTGGCTATTTTGTACTAACATTTCTAGTAAATGTGTCAATTCTCCCCAATTTGCAACTTGCATAACCTTCATTTGTGCATACAATCCCCCAAAAGGGTTTTTGCAGACCCTTCAGGTCTTTTCTGACGTTGATTCATACTAGATACTCATATTTGGTGAGCCACAGTGTTTTACTTGAATGTATTTAGTTTACATAGCTCCTGCTTAACGTGAAAATATTAAATTTTCTAAAAGTGGAGCAGTCGTTAGGAACATTCCATTGGTTTCCATGACAACTGCACCAGAGTTTCACTTAGCACATATCCCCCCTGAATAGAGTTAATTCTTTATTCAGATCCTGAAATAAAGGTCATGGTGGGAAGGTATTCAACCTCAGGTAGAAACACAAAACTATTTATGTTAAATAAGTTATTGGCTGTCTGAATGTCATGAGAGTTGTAATTTGCACCGCACATTGTCCAACTTTCAACAATTGAGTTTCTTAGAAAACCTCTAGAATATTAAATAGGGGAAACTATGTATCATGGCAGTGTTTGGGGGATGTTTCCTGTTACTGTACAGAGCCAGTTGTGCTGGTATTTCACTAGTTAACCCAGGTTGTTTATGAAACGCCGCGCAGGTCTTTGGATTCTCAGAAATGTAATGTAATCACGCAGAGTACTTCACTCCTTGCAAGTGATTTCTTAAGACTGACTGGGAGTGACAGTGTCTCTGAAAGCACGCAGACGCTTTTTTTTTCCAAAGGTGTAATTAAAGTCAGTGTTTATTACTAACATGATCTGTTTTGTTTTAGGTGTGTCTGCGCTGCGAATGTTGCTGGGCCAGCTTGCAGTGGGTGGAGCTGGCCACCTCCCTAACTCTTGGATAAAACCAATTTCTCCGTCTGCCTGGTGCAGTGGTTCTTAACAGTTCAACAGTTCTCTATCGAAATTGTGAAATGTTTAGGACCACTTGATCAGGAGGACACGCTCTTCAGGGAAAAGCCATGATTGGAATACAGTGGGCACTTCACTCGTCCTCGCTGCCTGGAAGGATTAGAAGCCGCCAGGGACTTTTTCCTCGAATATCTGGAGCTCACTATGTTAACTGTTTATTTGCCAAGATGGTGCATGGCTACTGTGGATCGTTTAGCCCGTTTGCTGTCAGGATTCCGCGTTTCGGCAGAATATTCTGGCAGCACAATGGGTTAACATTCAGTGCGATCCTTTCACAAATATAAGTTGCAATTTCCTTTTACTAAAACTGAATTAGGAAGAGGAAATCTAATTTAAAAAATAAAAACAAAAACATTTTTTGTTTTTTTACCCCAATAGGAATTGTGAAGAATTGACAACTGGATTTAAGATTCTAGAACAGGGGTGCCCAAAAGGTAGATCCCCAGATGTTGTAGAACTGCAACTCCCATGATGCCTTGCATTTCTTTAGAATGCTTTTAGAACGACAAAGCATCATGGAAGCTGTAGTTTTAAAACATCTGGGGAACTACCCGTTGAGCACCCCTGTTCTAGACAAATAGACATAGCTGGGAAAATTTTGCAATTGATTAATGTTCCTGGTTTGGCTATTTTAGCATGATATTTGGATTAAAGCTATTCACTAAATTTGGAAATGATCAGTGGATTTTCAGTTTTAGACCTAAATCGATGAGATAGAAAATTAATTTTTTGGGAGAATTCCTGGCTCAGCTACAAATTTTGCAAAAAAGTCTGCTTGTCAACTCCTCACAATTACCAGTTAGTAAATACACATCAGTGTTCTCTGGTGATTATAGACTGTTTTTATAATACACACCTTGCCTAGTTATGATTAATTAGCAATAGTTTAACCCCTTTCAAGGCTATGTGCTTGGCAATGAGTTAGAAGTTAGAAGACGGGCAAGAGATTATTAACTAATTCCCTGCCAACCACATTTAATAATATGTGATAATCTACGATTTAGGCCAAAATAGTTGTTAGAATGTTTAGTAGTTTAAAATAGTTGAAGAATGTTTAAAACTTGGCTTTTTTTCTGCAGATTTTCAATTTAGGTCTAAAAGATTTATTTTATTTTTTTAAACTAAATCAAGTTCAGACTATAAAGTAGAATTGGGGGGAAAAATCCATCTTGGATGAACTAAAGATTTTTTTCCCTTCCAATTCTGCTTTAAGTTTGTAAGTCGAATGTTTCCGTACCACTTGCTGTTTAGTGAATAAACCCCAAATGCATATATTCTGTATAGTTTGTATTTTTTTTTCTCCCTGTGCTTATCTGCTGTCTATTTTCTAAATAAATCAATAAAAAGTGTGAATGTGTTTCTCTCTATTAAGGTCATATTCCTTTGTTAGAATGGTAGTAATTAAACATGTTGTATTTGGGTACATGCATTACATTTCTCTCGGGGAAGTTAAATAAATCTGTAGAGCAAAAAAGAAAAAAAGGCCATGTCTTAAAATAAATTTCACAAAAAAAAAAAAAAAAAAAAATACTATATACAATCTTTATTTTTTGTGTGTGTAATTTATTTTAAAACATGTTTTTTTAATTTTTTGTTTTTTTCTCGATCTCAATTTTTTAAAATTATTTTTTTACTGGGGACATAGAGCGCATGTCCAGTGCTTCTCTATGGCAAGCATTGGGTGAATTCGTCCTCATTACTTACGGTGCGTGATAACACAGGACATTTAGACCATCATGAAAATAGAAAGTCTTCAATAAGGCACTGTCTTTAATGCCTGTCTGACATTACCATTTCCTTGGGAAGAGAATTATTTTACATTGCCAGTCAAGAGGGTCTGAGCACCAAAATCACTTCATTAAGATTAAGTGGTTTTGGTATTTTAAGTTTCCCTTTAAATAATCCAAGCCTTTTAATTTTAGATGTATTGTATTCCCCAGACATATTGAAAAAAGCCACACAGTAATTCAATGATTTTAAGTTTTCTAATGGTCTGGAAAAGTTTTTCATATTTATATTTCCTAAGCACACCCCTATAAATCCCCCTCCCCCCCAAAAAAAAAAAAAACACACAAAAACAAACAAACAAACAACACCAAAGTTCTCAGAAGAACATCCCAGACAATCATTGCCATCTAAGTTGGATGGAATGGACATTGGTAATACGAAAGTGTTTATTCTGCATTATCGATGCGGCTGAAATCGGGGATGGTTTCCTTAAAGGAACACTATAAGGTCACGAACACAAAAATGGATTCATGACCGTATAGTTTTTAAACCATTACCATCTAGCCCTCCTGGCCCACTCCCTTACACCCCTCTAAATATAGTAAAAAATATATATACTTTTGTTCCAGTCTGCAGTTGCTGGCTCTGCTCCTGATCTTCCTGCTTGTCTGACAACATCAGAAGTGGTGGTCTGAGCCAATCACAATGCTTCCCCATAGGATTGTCTGAGACTGTCAAGGACGCAGATCAGGGGCAGAGCCAGCACAAGTCAAGCACAGCCCTGACCAATCAGCATCTCCTCATAGATTGAATTGATGTATCGCTATGAGGAAAGTTCAGTGTCTCCATGCTGAGGGTGGACACACTGAATGTCAGTCACACTGTGCAGCACTGCCCCAGGAAGCACCTGTAGCAGCCATCTGAGGGGTGGCCAGTGGAGGTATTCCTAGGCTTTAATACAAAAAAATGCCTTTTCTCTGAAAAGACAGTGTTTACAGCAAAAAGCCTGAAGGGAATGATTCTACTCACCAGAACAAATTCAATAAGCTGTAGTTGTTCTGGTGACTATAGTGTCCCTTTAAGAATTCCACATTTTTTTATATTAAAAGTCAGCTTCAGTTTTCTGTAACCTGCCAGACTGACAGGAAGTGCTCTCTCAGTGAGCACCACCTGTCAGTCCGGCCAGGTGCAGGAAACAGAAGCTCCTGTACCGCGCTCTGCATCGCCACACAACACTCGGTGTATACACAATGACAGCCACACACAATCAATCACAAAACACACAGACATCACTGACAAACACTGATTTGACACACACTGACAGATGGCACTGACAGTCACACACACACTCAATGACAAACACACAGACATCACTGACAGACACACACAACCAATCACAAAACACACAGACATCACTGACAAACACTGATTTTACACACACTGACAGATGGCACTGACAGTCACACACACACTCAATGACAAACACACAGACGTCACTGACAGACACACACTAATTCATTGACACACACGCACACTGACACTCATTGACACACTGATAGTCACACACAGACTCAATGACAAAAATACTCTCACAAACACACACTGACAAACACACTCACACACACACACACACACACACACATACACTCACTAATTAATAATATTTTTATAATTAAAAATTTTCCACCCAGCCTCCCTACCTGGAGAGCTGGCGTGGATCTGTCCCTGGGGTCCAGTGGAGCTGCTGGGAGGCGTGCGGCTGTGGTAGAATCAGAGGCAGCAAGGGAGCTCTGATCTCCCTCCTTTGCTCACTCACTCCTTGTGGGCTGCTTACTGATGCCGAGATCCAGAATATGACGTCATATTCCGGCTCCCGGGGCATCAGCAAATGGCGCGCGAGGAAGCAGAGCAGGGAGATTAGATCTCCCTCGCCGCCTCTGATTCTACAACAGCTGCACGCTGCACCGGGGTTCATAATGTGGCCTGGAAGCAGGGAGTGCTTCCCTCCTGCTGGTCACTAGAATCTTGCACAGCCAGAGCTGGTGCGCCCTAAGGCAGCCGCCTGATGGACGTGCCGGCCCTGAGTGAGTTCCCTCTGAACTAAATAAACCAGGAAGTAACTGGACTTGTTGTCTGACTGACAGTCAGGGGGGGTGTAACCAGGTTAATTTATAAAAGAGGACACAAAAAAGAGGACACACTTCACACATAAAGTACTTCAGCATGGAGAATTTCTTTAGGGGTCTCAAATGAGCCTTTAAAGAACCTAAAAAAGTACTATCCTATAATTTGATATTTTTCAAATAAATGGGACAGCAGACAATATGCAGCTAGTATTTAGAACTGTATACAAGTTTATACAGACAGATTAAACAGAGAGGCAAAAACATACAGTCTATGATATTAATATATAGAAAGTACTTGCCAGCATTTCGGTTCAGGGCTGCCCTTTTGGGATGAGTCTGACGTACGAGGCTATAGGTCACTCTGTAATGGCACAAGTTAGCAAAAACTATTTTGAGACCTGAACAGGGATTTACAGAAGGACGGGTTATTGAGTTACTCTAAGCTTTTGTCCTCAAAGATCTCATATTCTCTGTTTTGGTTTCTATGATATTAATAGTGTCTACCAATTAACCCACGCATCGCACTTAGAGCAGTGTTGAACTGTGGGCCCAAGTGATCGGAGTTTAATTTCTGTAAACGGTCTCTCAGTGTATCATAGGGTCGTAGTTCAACAACTGCGGGTTTTACAGTTTATCACCACCTTATCTAGAGAGAAGTACCGAAATATACTACAATAGTGCATGCGGTGGGAAGTCATGTATTGGGTCACGTTTGGCCACCCTGGAACATTTCACTACTTTTTCATAGTCCACATTTCATCAGAAAACTAAAAATCAGATTTTCTTTCTTCATCTCCGAGAAGAACTATGAATCATTAAACACTACACAGCTTTGAACATCGCAGTTATAGTCGTGACACCATATAAACTGGTCTACTTGAAAGATCTTCACTTGAGTCATTATATAGGAGTCACCCGGTCTTTCAGAGACTCCCATGTGATGTATATGAACATCTAAGAGTACTACTGCACTCTTGAAAAACAATACAGAAGTATGTTTTCCTATGTATAACCAATGTAGGATGGTCTGAGCCGGTAGAGTCATATCGTTCAAAGAAATGTGAATTCGCTGGGATTTAGACACCAGGGAACATTGAAATGCAATTATTATGTATTAATGTCACCTTAGAATAGAGATCAGTGAAAGATTTCCCGTATGAGAACATATAAAATATAAAGCAAACGTCAACTGCATTTAGAGATAAAACAAAAAATAAGGTTTCTTTGCAAAATAAATTGAGTCAGTGGAAGAATGGATAGTTGATACTGTACTTTAAAAACAGATACTTTATCTCCCATAATGCTCTTACCCATAATACTGGCAAAGCATCAAGGGAGATGTAGTCCACAAGATGGGCTGCTAAGCTCTAAAAGGTGGTCCTAATGTTGCTAAAGGGGGACCCTCACTTTCCGAGATATTATTATTGTATTATATTCCCTCTATGTAACAAAAATGCATTTATGAAGTCTGAAAAAAGAAAAATTAAAAGTTGAAATTCACATAACTGCGTTTACCTCTATGGTAGAACTGGGCGCCTCCATCTTAGCTCCCTATCTCAATCATTGGCACCTGGCAGCATGTAGAGCATAAAGATAATGGAAGCAATGTTTCGATTTCTCCTACTATTTGCATTGTGTGCCTTGGCTGTGCCTGGACGCAACTGCATTGTAATGTCACTTGCTAAACATTTAATATATTAGAAGGAAATGAAACATCACATAAAAAATGATAGGATTCTTCCAGGCAAGTCAGTGTTCCCTTTTAAATATTAAGTAAGAATTGGACAATAGTGAAAGCATATACTTGGGGTGCCATTACGTGAGGTTTTCTTGTCATTTCCTACTTGTACTCATTGTGTCCGACAAGGCCTGCCTTTCTCAGCACAAATTCTTGTTTGATATTGGTTTCTTTCCCAGGTAAGTGGAACATTGGCCACATACCTCAGTTAAGAACACTTGAGGGTAGCGGATTATTTGCACTCCACATATGATCAATCCAGCCTCCTTCTCGATCACAACACCATCTATCCTATGTTATTCCTCAATGGCATATTTGTATAAGTACTATTGACTATTTTATATACAGGTTCAAAATTATATTCATCATCATGAATAGATGGAAGACTAAAGGTCCCCAACTTGTGATGTGTAGGATAAGACCTATCCAGGATTAACAGAAAAGTAAGACAGTACATGAAGATATAGTACCAGGCCTTAGAATGGTTTGGTTTAATTAAATACCCCAGGAGAGGCAATAGAGAGTTTGTGAAATGACAAACATAAGCCAGAATAATGGCCAAGGTCAGGCCGCCAGAAACGCACTATATCCGTAAATAAGTCAAGTCAGAGACTCCGGAGATTAGGACAAACCAAAACACTAGATCATTAACACCTAAGAACACTCACAATATCTCCGAGAAATGTATTATAAGAAGGCCGACAGAACCACATAAAGGTGAAAGGTCAAAATGATGCCAATGTGCGTCATTCCAGCCAGTATAAGAAGAAGAAATTATGCATTTGATTGCACAGTTTAAAACGTATCCAAAAATATTAAATGGAGGACTATATTTGTTATATTAAAACGGAGACCGTAATTACGTGTTTTTCTTATCTGTTATTAAAGGAGAAATCTAAAATCTCCACTAAGTCTAGTGGACCAACACTT